GAGGTCCTATTGATGGCATGTTCTCATCCCTTACAAATTCCGTAATCTTTATCATGGCTGTCTTGTAGTCATCAAGCTTAGCCAAAAACAATGATCATGTGTTGCCTTGTTTGAGCTGGATATTCTCTTTCGGTAAATGAAAGCTGCACTTATCTGATCCTGCACTCGTTAGCGTCCAACGGCTTCGGAATCTTCTTTTCTCGAAAACAATCTCCCCGATGAGGAGCTTGACCTGGGACTTTTTCAATAATTGGGTGGATGCATGACTCTTCTTTCTCTCCTCCCCTGGTTTGAACTGGATGTGTCCGAATATTGGTCCTTGTTGGTGCCGTGTGCAGTGTGCACTGTCCAGCCGGTCCCTGTTAGTGCCGCGCGCAGTCGATCCGACACCGGTGTCTGCTAGTGTCGTGGGCAGTCGGCTGGCTCCGGCCATTGATTGGCCATCGACTGTGTTCGACCTCCCTGGGGCGGCTTATTTTGGCCTACCCTTTGTCCATAGCGACTCGGGTCGGTCAATCGTGGCCACCACACAGCCACTGCAGGGCAGAAATGAGCGCTGCACCACTCACAGCGTACGGCACCCGCCTTCAAATGCTGACCTGCAGCGAACCATCTTTGGAAATTCAGACGCAGTGATGGCGTCTATTACAGCATACTTGAGCGTACCAAATTACATTTTATGTACTAGGGTCTATCAAGCGCTTCTACGCAAGTTGTCCATCGCGCTAATGCATTTTCCATGGCTACTGTGCAGTGGACTCGCAGATCTGCTTTGTTCCCTGCAAGGGTAGACTGTACCGGTGACAGACGTGTGCTGCGGTGCAGCCTACCAGTACAGTGTGCGGTGTTCGCAGCTCTGGCGCAGTGATGCGGCGCCAGGCTCGGGCGCAAACCGCGTTCCGTCTCTGAAATAATGCGCTTTGTAAGGGATTGCAGGTGATTCTGCAATACGTTTAAAGAATTATTGGAAAGGGAAAAGGTAACGTAATGCTGCACAGCCATAATATTTTGCTGTAAGATGACTTTATACACCTGTGAAGGACATATGTGAATCATTTTGATGAAAGTGTCGCTGAACGTATCCAGAAAACGTGTAAATTAACACATCGCAGTCAGTTGCATTGTTTTCATTTTAACAGTCCCTCCATAACTGATGTATCTCGATAATTCGTTGCCTGTGAGGCGGCAGCCCCCCGTCGGCCGGGCGCGATCGAGCGGTGGGAGAGGGCGGGCCTGCTGTGCCCGGATCGATGTTCCACCTGTTCGCTGCCCGAGCTCGGTGGTCGATCGGGTCCGGCCCGCCGCCCCGGCGGCGGCCATAGTGGACCGGAGCCGGCCTCGGCTGTGACTGATGACCTCACTCAGCCCCCTCGCCCACGGCGGGCGGCAGAGTCGGCAGCGAACTCTCCCGACTCGGACCGGGTATACAAGGAGTTTCTTTTGGAGTGTGTCGCCCTAGTCAGATTTCTAGATAGCACTGAAACTTTAAAAGTTATAATTTTAGTTCCAATGTTTTTTTAAGAGCCGATGGATAATTTCATAGTCCGCTCCCATCAGAGCTTGTTGCGAATGCCCTCACATCTACCGTCTCGGCCAGATTTTCAGAGTTGTCTCTAGAATTTTGAACCGATTTCTAGCGTTTCCACACTGCCAGGCACGGTCTGACCCAATCGAACTCGAGCTTTTACCACCATGAGTCCAATGTTTTACCATTTGCGCTGTTGGGTGAACATGCTTGCTGGGTGCTTCTGTGTATTGATTGAATCATGTTTTAACCCTCGCCCGTAAACGGCGATCTGCCACCTTTGCCCATGCAGGGGGGGGGGGGGTTGGTGCGACCCCCCCCTTGGCATTTGAAAACGGAGCGTCGTAGAGCTTAGCGGAAAAGACCAACGGATTGCTCTCGCCGAGATCTCGCGATTGGTGGTATATTTTTTGGTCCTAAGTCAACATTTGACCTACTTTTGACCGGTCAAAGGTCAAATTTTCGGAAAAAATAGACTTTTTCAACTTTCCGCGGCGATTGTGGCAAAACGGTGGGAGATATCGACTTGAAACCTTCATTATCGTGTTCCTTGATCAATTCTCTATCGTTTGGTATGTATTTCGTTTCCCTAGCTCTAAAAATGGCGCGTTGGGAGCGCCGGAAGTCGGCAAGGTCACAGCCGGCGGCAGAAATTCGAAAAATCAAAATTTAAATTTTTGAAATCTGATTGTATTTTTGGATTTGCGAGGTCCATTTGCTCCCTATAGAAGCTAATATTGCTGCATATTCCCATTGAGGTGACAAGAATTAGCAAAATAGTGGTTCGGGCGCTTTTCAAAAATAGTACCGGACGCTGTTCCTCTTGTGACGTCATAGCTCCGTGACCTGACCTGACCCGGTCAAGTTTCTTATACCATATGATAGCCAATACTTGCCCCAACATGCATGGGAAGTTTCATCACGATCCATCAACCGATGTCCGTACCACCGGCAGGAAACCTCGGGCGTTGGCACTCAGTTTGTGAAAATCCGGCCGGAGGCTGTTCCCTTTGTGACGTCATAACTCCGTGACCTGACATGACCCGGTCAATTTTTTTCATCAAAAGATGCGCAAGGTTTGCCCCATAAGGTACCCAAAATTTGGCGGCGCCGTTTTTGCACTATTTCCGAAAAGCCTCAGGAGGGGGGTTGCACCAACCCCCCCCCCCCTACATGGGCGAGGGTTAAGTTGCGATAACCGTTTTGGAGTTCAAATGGACAGTGCAGTGTCCATTTTGAGTGGCGTTGCAGATATTTCCTTTTTAGTGGCATCGCACTCCCGCGTATATACAGCCCTTTTGTAGACGCTCTACCGTCCATCGAAACCAACTTGCTAGACATTTTATGTGTCATCGGCATTGGATTTAGTGTGGATTTTCTCCACTCTATTCTGTAATTATCATAGAGGTGACAGCTGTGTGGTGTCGAGTAAACTGGAGTGCATACCCAGGCCCTCGTCCAAGATTTGCTGAGATGATTGACTTCAGCAGGCCAGAAGTGCCACTGCAGGCGTAATTTAACAAATGGATATAATGGACCATGTAATGGTTGGTGCCACTTCTGGTTTACCAATCCATTGACTCTGAATTCAATTTGCACTACATCGAGGCGCAGGTCTAAAAGTCATGAACAGATCAATCATTAGGTGTGATGAACAACAGGGGCGATTCAAACTTTTATGGGCAATCACATGCTAGGATGAGTCTTGGAGCTGATTGATGAGACGCCGCCAGAAGCGAAGGTGCATTTCGAAGGACGAAACATTTGCCAAATGTCACTGTTTTATCGACAGGCTTTGAACTATCGATGGATGTATAGACTAAGAACATTTTGGATGATTTTCAAGTGACTATATGCAATTGAGTCGGATTGGAGAACGTTGATTAGTGAAGAAATGTGTGTGGCCTGAGTAAGAAAGGAATAGATTATGAGAATAATTAACTTATATTATCTTCTCACAAACTAAATGTAACGATATTTAATAAAAACAGCAAATGGGCAGCTTCCAAGCATATATAGACTCACTTCCGCTCAACTTGTGGTGAAAACTCATTTCAGGCCTAAGATAATCGACTACTGACGCATGTGTTGTAACGTGATATTCAATCATTTCTTTTAAAAGCGGACAACCCCATTACCTTCAGGAAGCTTATAATACTGCACCCTGTAAATCACCCAAAATTACATACCCCCGATTTAGGAGAACGTTAAGCAATCTGTTGATGGCTCTCTTTAATTATACTTTACCGTCCCTACACTGGATTTTCATGTCGGTCCGCTACCATTACGATACCATCGATGGGCTTCATTGCCACAATCCAGACTTATCGATAGCATCTGATTGCATATTGCCGCTCCAAGTTCGGACGAAACCCGTACTGCAGCACGGCTGACCACCGATCGATAGCAAATTTAACCGCCCCGCCCCGACGGCTATCTAATACACATTAATGCGCTCAATATTCGCTGTGCCTCAGGTCGTATCGTTGATAATGATTTTAATTGGTAGCGCGAGCGTCCCTCGTAAATGATTGGACTTGGTCCGGTCTACACGGAGCTGTGTCAGTGTCAGGCGCGTGCGTCCTCAGCGGCCCCGCCGAAGGGGAGGGGCTCACGAACTCGCATTCATTGTTCTGGGAAATATTGAAATGAGTGCAATAAAATAGTAATATCGACTTTACCTTGCATGTTGCCATTCTCCAAAGGCTAGTTGCATTTTGCATGACCAGTTGCACGAATGTTTACCATCTAATGCACAATGTAGTGAGCAAAAACGCAAATAATATTGCGGCACCGACCTCTCTGCTGGCTATGATTGCCACAATTAGGCCACATGCATTTTTTAAAGCGGTTATGATTGTGTGCTAAAGCGTCACATGCATAGTACACAACGTCACATGCTTATTACATGTATATTTTATGATATGCTCTAAGCATTGTCTTTAACTTGGATGTTGAGTTGTCTGAGTGTTTTCAGGGAACAAAGTTGTCATTGTTCCGTCTAGATCGTTCGGCCTCCATTCCCTCACACTCAATTCTTGTTTGTTTTCGCCAGCTGAGCCGACCCTCTATTTGTGTTGAGACTTTTCCGATCATTCTCCGGGGCGCAGACTGGCGGCGGCCACTCAATAAAGTGGCGCGCCGCCCGTTCCCAACTCCAGTAATGTGATGCAAATGGTGGCCTACAGTTTCCGGCTTTCTCTCAACTGCCATCTCATTAGGCGGCCGGCTGACGGTGTCTCACGTCACGTCACGTCAGATCAAACGTCAGTGACGTAACGTCCGCCGGCCGGCCGGCCGCTGGCGGCTGCTGCCGGCCCGATAGTGCTGCCGACGGGGTCGACTCACCCCCGGCAGACTGCCGCGCCCCGCCGGCGGCCCGCTTATCGGCCGGCCCAGCTCACAGCCCCAGCCACGGACGAAAAACAAGCGCCCGCAAGCCGGTGGGCTCACTGACGCTGGCCATGCTTTCCAGATGAACCGGCCCATTCAAGTGAAGCCAGCAGACAGCGAGAGCCGAGGAGGTAAGCCGGGATATGGCCGCGCCGACGGACGGGAGGGAGCCGGATTTGGAAGGTCGCTGGGGAGGACGCGATATTGCCGCGTAGACTGGACTGAAACCAGCACATTGAAAGTTATAAGATGAATGTAATTTATCATAAACCGCTGGAATTCAATGAAAAAAATGTTGAACCAGAAATGGTTGATCTTCTTCCGAACAGCATATACAAAATATGCAATATTTTCATATGCAATGCACATTACCGAAAACAGACTGGTCAGTAGTTAGCCTAATTTGCCGTAAGCCAAACATTACATATGATCAATTCCCGGTTTGTGTTGCCGGCTGTTGCGTGGAGGCGTTCAGGCTGAGCCGTGTGCCCGCCGGGCCTGCGGGGTTTACCTGGCGGCTGAGCCGGGCTCCCGGCGGCTCCAGCCGCAACTCGGGCAAATAGCCGGCGACAAAAACACGCTCAATTACTGTGTTGTCGGTGTGCAGCGGTACCCGCGGCCAATTAAATTTGCCGGCTACCCCGACATCGATTGTGTGTCGTCGAATGACCGGCGACCGGACCGGGCTCTGTTTGTGGGCACTATAGGTGCTCCTTAGCCGCCACCTACACGACACTTTGAGACGCTCAATTAGATAAACGGCTAACTTTTAGACCGGCTGTGCGTGCTAGTGCCCGTTGCAGGGCCGGACGACATAGAATGACTGCGACCACGCCCAGCCGCTGAATACTACCCGATGGCGAGAGAAAATGGTGTACAAGGTCTTTTACTACTTTAGCTCAAGAGGATAGAAATTTTGCCTGGATAGAGACAAATATTAGATAGAGGTGAATCAAGACCGCTAGTGTATCTGTAAGCAAATGATGTCGATGAAATCATATTCCAGGCAGTCTGGTTAATTGCGCATTCACGCAACTCCTGTAACCTGACCGCCACCAAACTCATTTACATGCACATTGCACATCATATTTCTCGTCTTCCCTCCCCTCCTTCGCTCTCCCTCTCTCCGTTGCTCTCCCTCTAACCTTTTCTCTCCCTTCTTCACTTCCCGTATTCCCGTATCCATTTGATTTCTCTCTCTCTCTCTCTCTCTCTCTCTCTCTCTCTCTCTCTCTCTCTCTCTCTCTCTCTCTCTCTCTCTCTCTCTCTCTCTCTCTCTCTCTCTCTCTCTCTCTCTCTCTCTCTCTCTCTCTCTCTCTCTCTCTCCTCTCGCTCTCCACGCACGCCGACTCTGGTGCCGCATTTACCACCCCTTCTGCGGTCCTCAGAGCGTGCTTCTCCAACTTCCCTCCTCGGCCAGCCGCTGTTCCGGTCAAACTACGTCTCCCACCCTGAAAACCTGCCCGCTCAGCACGCGCTGCCGACTCCCCTCCCTCTGCTCGGCGCTCTCTCCGTCGTTCTCCCTGCCTCTCCGCTCTATCGCGGCCATTATGGTCGGTGGCCCGGTGGCGCATTCATAAGGCATGCGAGAGGCGGAGGCGGCGGCGGCGACGGCGGCGGCGGTCGGGGCCCATCGATTAAAACTGGCCCGTACAATGGGTGGCCGCTCGGGCCCGGGCGCGGGTCGGTGCGGGCCCGGTGGCGGGGCGTGTCGACCACAGGTGGGGCCTCCGCCGACCGGCCGGCCGGCCCCAGACGGCCGTGCCGAGCGGACCGGGCAGGACGTCCGCAGCCGGCGCGGTGCATATCGACTGAGGGTAGCGGCAGGTCACGGACTGAGTCGGAGGTGACTGGGAAGTGACTGGAAACTGCTGAATTTGCACATTGTGGGTGCCTGGAAACCGCTGAACTACCAGTTCAAGTGAAGCAGCTGGCAGTACAGGTTGCTGAGAGTTGCTGTGCTGCAAACCCGGCTGCTGGAAACTGGGGTAAGTTGATGACCCCCATCCGTGCTTGTGGCAGGCTAGTCATTCCAGATGACTCGTGTAAATTTTAAGTCCGAAGTGCTGGTGTTTGGTCGGTAGATTCAAACTGACCCTCCATCCCCTCTCGCCGCCCGAGTGCAGCGTCCATGAGATATCCACCATCCGGCCAGCACCAATCTGGGCCGGCCGGCTACCTCCGCCGTCGTCCGGCCGGGCGGGCCACTTGTTACCGAAATGGAGCCAGCCTCCTGGATGGGCCCGTCGCTCCCGACGCGGCCATCGCGGCCGGCTTTATTGCCTAGTGCCGCCTCGTTCTGGCTCCGTCCAGCGCCGCTTGCTGACGGATAATTGGCTTATCGGACCGTAATCGAATGGTGAGGCGCACACTGACGTCAACCGGCATGCCACGGCCGCTCGGCGGGACAGTTTTCGGCGTGTATCAACCGGCCGGGACTCTAGAGCCGCCCGTTGTGCCATCGCCGGCGTGCGAGTGAAGGGTGCATGAAGAGGGGTTCTTTGAGTGAATGAATCACGCAGTTTTGCATGAAGCGAGGCTGCTGGTGGATTATTGACGGACTCGTGCTAGGATTAGGTGATGGCGCCCCTGTTGATCCTATAGGCTACTGACGCGGTACGAATGTAAGCTCCCGGCCGTGTTCGGATTAAGCTGGGACGGATGGCTGCCATCCAAACTGTATGCAACAAGTCGCGCTGGATGGTAGGGTGCGGCTTCAGCATGCATAGGGGAGAGTGGGGCAAAGCGGCCACCCTAACGCTTCTCACGATGCCAACGCTTGATTTTTAAACTTGGAAAGATTCTTTCTATACCAATGTGATCCCTATTAAGTTGCCTTTTATTTCAACTGCGTTTTATTTCCAAAGGCGTTCACATATGAAAGATATTGACAAAACTTTAAACCTATGCATATTGGCCACTTTGCCCCATACCCATGGGCAAAGCGGCCACCGGCGTCTTCTCAAGTCCCGATATGAGAAACAAAATAGTTGTCTTGTGTACGACTACGGTATTTGATGGTGACAAGGTTAAGCGAGGATGGATGTTTACTTTATCATCTTCCACCCGTAGGTAAACAAAGAAAGGATTTTCATGAAAATAAACATTGAATTGCATTATTTGGTAACTCATGCAACTGAAAACTGGCCAAGATAATTGCATGACGACACATTTGAATATAAATTATGTTTTTTATCCAGATGGAAGCAACTTATGGCCAATTGGGGGGTGGCCACTTTGCCCCGGCCACTTTGCCCCGCGCATACCGTCCGAGACAAAAATATTCCAGCTTAGCTATTAGTGGGGTAAAAAACATTAAAATTGGTAGAATACATGTACGATAACCATGCAATGCATGAACAAGAACGCTTATAAAAATTCCAAACGGTTATGGAATAACATAACATTTAAAAATTGTAAACATAGTTGGTAACCTGGCAAGAAATGCTTTTCCGCGTTTCACAGAACAATGGTGATGGGCCTGAAACCCCGGTCTGGCTCATTCGAACGACCGTGAAGAGAAGTATAATTGGAAACCATAAATTGGAACTGACGCCAGTCATGAAGGGCTAAAACGATGGGTGGCCGCTTTGCCCCGGGTGGCCGCTTTGCCCCACTCTCCCCTAGATCAAAGACCACCTGTGGGTCACAGAGATGCTCCTTCTGCAGGTGGATCCTCTTGCGGCCCATTCATATCGACATCAGTCAAATGGGGGAAGATACAAAAATGACACCAAATCGTATCAAAATTCAATGTCATTGTTGTGAAAATTGACAACGGGCTACCTATTTTCGAACTCGACTCAGGAATTGACCGCAACTGACCACATTCATGCTGTAGAGTTCCTTGGTATAGGTTAAGACATAGACATTTTGTAGCTTTCATGTAGGCCATTTATTATGTAGATTTGCCAGCAAAACTAATTGGAACTTGATAATTATGTAGCGTCTACAAAACCGTGAGTCGATCGATTGCGAACAATACTCAGTGCTGCTGCCGTTTTCAACAGTAGCTTTTGAGTCTGTCCAGCCAAACCAGATATCCCTTGTAAACATTGAATTAACAATGAGCGTTATGTTACAATGATCTTTCCATGCGGAATGGAAATGCGGAGGCAATTGGGTCTCTTATTGTCCAGACTTGTTCCCGGTTTTACAAATATTAGCAGCGCCGCTCCTTTGTTGCCTTGTGTTCTCTGTAATTCAATTGTATGGTGTACTCTAGCTCATCTATATTTGATTATTTCTTCGATTATTAAACGAGCAGGCTCACCGGAAATACTACCTCACCCGATAGTATCCATTTTACATTATCAACAACTTGTAGATTAATTGCTTTGCCATTATTCGCTCAAGGCCCAGCTCATACCTATTAATCGCAGGTGCTCGTGGCGTAGCGCGACTTCACCACCCTGATATATAATTACTGTGTCGAGTTTTCTGCGGCGCACGCTGTGGAACTAAGTGGGCTGTTTGGCCATCCAGGGTGCGTGGGGTGTGGGGAGTCGCTGCTTTCCTTTGGACCGGGCCGCCTTTCTCCAGTCGGTGGCGTTTTTACTGTCGACGTTTGACACATTTGCGAGCGGCGGGTGGCGGCGCGTCATGTAACTCGGCCCACCGTGCTCGGCGCCGCACCGCAAACAGGGCCACAAAACAGCGCCGTGACGGCCGGCCCGCCCCCGTCGCTGGCGGTCCCCGACCGTCCGACGACGGTAACGACTGTTCGCGCTCTCGGCAGCTCGAGCGAGCCCTTCTCCTCCTCCGGCGCCGCCCTACTCGGCAGCGGCCGCCCTGCAGTCGAGTCGGCGGCGCGCGAATCGATTGCCAGCCCGACTGCGGCCAGCTTTGTTCGCGCGCAGCGTCTCGGCTGTTTTCTTTCTGATCTGTGAACAACATGTGGCCCACTCCGCCGGGCCGGGCCGATGTAAGTGGCGGCTGGTAGTTTACAAGGAGGCGTCGGTGATGAACGGCGTGACAGCATAAGCCAATTACGCACCATTATTCGTAAATCATGTTAGGAAAATGATTCATTGCACTCCTAAACGACTTTTGGCGTTAGCTGGACTAGGGTACTTGAAGATAACTTGCCGTTTCACTTGAAGTGTTTTAATATTTAACAGCGGCCTCCAGT